GATACAGAGGAGACAAGATGAAAATGTTACACTGAGAAAAAGTACCAATCCAAGTGGCTAAACATAAATAAAAATTATTGGTTAATTTAAGTTGTAAGAGCTAGTAATAATAAGCCTAAGCTAATAGGCCAACCAGTTAATAATCAATATAAACCTCTGTGTGTTTTGTTGAGACTAAATGGCTGCAGAATAGGGCAGGACAGAAACTTTCATCTACACCTGTACCTACTAAATCAGTAGTTCAGTAATAAATGTTACATCCATCTGAAAACAAACAAAACAAAACAAATATAAAAAAGAATTGTAATTGGAGGTTCCTGAATAACCCTATAGAGGCTTATTATTACTTATAAATGCTTGGTTAACGACTCAGACTTATTATAATCTGGCTCTTGCATCTTAAGTTAACCCATTTCTATTTGTCTGTGTATTGCCAAGTGGCCCGTGGTTTACCTGTGATGCTCTGGCATATTGCTCCTTGGGCGGCTGCTGATATGTCCCAAACTCTGCCCTTCTTTTCCTGTATCTCTGCTTGGATTTCCTGCTTGGCTCAATCCTGTCTTGCCTTAGGCCAAAGAAGCTTTATTTGTCAACCAATAAGAGAAACACATATTCACATAAACACATACCAAATCAAGTTGCTACTCATGTTTTTTTCTCCAGCCATATTTTTGGGCCTTGTTCATTCATTCAGATCCTCTGTATACACAGTCTCAACACACTGTGTATCCTCTCGGAGAAGGAAAGTCAAAATGGCAAGATAGGCAGGAATTCAAAAGATGTCCATGGAAAAAGAGACCAATTATGCCCCAAATTCAAGAGCACAGTTTGAAAGTCAAAACATTTTTTTTCCTCTCTTGTGCCTAAGGGAAATCCATTGAGAAAGGAGTTTATAATGTGTTTTTATGAGACAGAAATACTAAGAAGGCATTATGCTTGTTTTAAAATGCATTTTTAAAATATGGTAAGATTTGTCTGAGAAAACCACCCGGGATCCCTCCTGCATCCCTTCTCAGTGCAAAGGGCAGGGTAGAGCAGAGTCCGTCTGTGTCATACTGTGCAATATTTTCCTGATAACATTTCATTACATTTGAAACATCTGCAACGGGCCAAGAGTAATCATTAAATACAAAGAGGAATTGCCAACGTGTAACAGAATCCAAGATAAATCTAGCAGAAGCCTGCTGTAAACAGGGCTGTGTCAGCAGAGACTGATTAGGCCAACGTTCAGTCTTGGGGACTGACTGAAACAGTAAAAGACCCTTGTTGCCACAGAAGACGAAAGGTGGTATTTGGCCAAATAAGGGAATAGGCCTTGTTGGTTAGCCTTAGGAAGGCAATCTAATGGTTTTTAGCAAGGCAGAGAAAATCAGGGAGAAGGGCAAGGCCTGCCAGAGTCATTCCTGTCATGCTCGAGTTGGCCAGAGTCCCTTCAAAGAGCACTGGCTGCTCTTTCAGAAGATCTGGGTTCAATTCCCAGCATTCACCTTGCGGCTCATAGTCATTTGTAGCTTCAGTTCCAGAGGATCCAACATCCTCTTCTGGCCTTTGAGGGCACTGCATACACATGGGGCACAGACATTCATGCAGGCAAAGCACCTATGCACATAAAATAAAAATAAATAAAAACTAACATTTTTTTTTAAAAAAAGTTTCCCTGTTTTCCTTCTTGAACTGTTTCTTGTTTTCTATCATGTTTTGTTGCTTTTTTGCTTTCTGAAAAACTTTGTTTTGCCTTATTCTTAATATCTGAAGCATGTGGGAAATTTCTTTTACTGAATTCCAGGTTGCCAACATCTTATGATTCACATACTATTTTCTTATTCTTAAATTTAAGAAAATGTTGTTTTGCAACTCTGATATACCATCTCACCCCTGTCAGAATGGCCAAGATCAAAAACACTGATGATAGTTTATGCTGAAGAGGATGGGGAGTAAGGGGAACACTTCTCCATTGCTGGTGGGAATACAAACTTTTACAACTGCTTTGGAAATCAGTATGGCAGTTTCTCAAAAACTTAGAAATCTATCTACCTCAAGACCCAGCAATACTACTTAGGGCATATACCCAAAGGATGCTCAGTCATACCACAAAGACATTTGCTTAACTATGTTTACAGCAGCATTATTCATAACTGCTGAACCTGGATACAATCTAGATGCCCTTCAACTGAAGAATGGATAAAGAAAAGGTGGTACATTTACACAATGAAGTACCACTCAGTGGTAAAAAAAAATGACATCTTGAAATTTGCAAGCAAATGACCAGAACTAGGGAAAAAAAAAACATACTGAGTGAGGCAACCCAGACCCAGAAAGACAAATATAGTATGTACTCACTCATAAGTGGATATTAGACACAAAGCAATGGATAACCAGCCTACAGTCCACAACCCAAGAAAACCTAGACAACAAAGAGGACCCAAAGAGAGACATACATGGATCCACTTTGGAAGGAGAAAAAGACAAGATTTCCTGAGTAAACTGGGACCAGAGGGGGTAGGGGGAGAGTAGAAGGGGAGAGGGGAGGAAGGAAGGGGAGTGGGAGAAATGTATAAGTGTCAATTAAAGACAAAAGAAAAAAGATCACAGACAACAATTTTTTTTTTTTAAAGAAAATGTTGATTTGGATTTTGGATTTTCTAAGTTTAGGTGAGTGATATTTCAGAGACTGCAAAGAAATTTCCAGAGGAGACCTGGGCCAGCGTAGCTCCTCTTCTTGCGTTGCCCTTGCCTTCCTGTCCACTCTTCTGAGAATGTGGAAGCAGAACGGTGTGCCTCACATTTCCTGAATCCCTACAGTCTATAGAAGGCCATGCTACGCTCGGGGCCCACTCTGTGGGAAGACATCAACAACTGCTTTTTTTCAGTGTTGTAAGGAAGGACGAAGTGGATAAATACCAGTATTTGCTCAATGTATTTTAAGTTTATTTTAGATATATGGGTGTTTTGCCTGTGGAGGTAAGAAGAGGGTGTTGTAACTCCTGGAACTGGAATTACAGACAGTTGTGGGCTGCCTTGTGGGTGCCCAGAATTGAACCTGGATCCTCTGGAAGATCAGCAAGTACTCTTAACTATTGAGTCATCCCTCCAGATGATTGGTTTGTATTTTTAAGATTTGTACTTTAATTCATGTTAGAGTTTTTCTTAAAAATTATTTCCTCAATTAGATCCAGGAATTTTCTATCTCCTTCTCATAATTATGAAGGCAGTGCCTGCCCTGTCTTAGTTAGGGTTTCCACTCCTGTGATTCCGGAAACATCAAGACCAAAAGCAACTTTCAGGAAGAAAGGGTTTATTTCAGCTTACAGGTCTACATCACAGTCCATGCCAAGGGAAACCGAGGGCAGGGACTCAAACGGCAGGAACCTGGAGGCAGGAGCTGATGCAGAGGCCAAGGAGGGTTGCAGCTTTCCGACTTGCTCTCCATGGCTTGCTTGATCTGCTTTCTTATAGCACCCAAGACCATCAGCCCAGAGCCTACACTTCTTACTCTCATGGGATGGGCTTCCCGTATCAATCATTAATCAAGATAACACCCCACAGTCTTGCCTATAGGGCCAGTCTTATGAAGGCATTATTTTTCAGCTGTGGATCCCTCTTCTCGGACAACCCGAACTTTTCAAGTTGGTATGAACTATCCAGCACATGGATAGTTAACAATGATCCGTAGACCCATGCATATGTGTGTGCACACGTACTTGTGTCTTATAGTAGGCAGTGGCCTGGGGAAAGCCATTTGAGAATTTACTTTGGGCCAGTAGGCTCCTCCTATAGCTTAATAACCTGAGTCGGGCGGATTTGTTTTTCACTAGTCCCATGACGTGGTTTCTGAGCTCTGGGCTTCACAAAGACCCACGGGGTATGTGTTTTCTCTGCCCTTAGTGCTGAGATAGCTTCTACCTGTTCCAGGAATGCTTACCCCCTACCCTGAAGTCCTAACTGCTGTTAATTCTCCAAAGGTACTTTCTGCAGAGAAATAGCTTTGCCCTTCGATTTGTAAGGTCTGGGTCATTTTTCTTTGTTATTCATTTTGTCTTGCCATTTCCTTTAATGCAGACAAGGTCACCTAAAGTTCAATTATCACAATCTTACCTTCAAAGAAGTAGGCTGGCCCTTGATAGGACTTTATCCTTTTGAAGGTTGTGAACTTGAAATGTTACCTGAGCCTTCTTTCTCTTACACCCAGACTAACACGTAAGTCAGGGACCCTGACAACTGAAAACCTGGCCTTGGGCTCCCTGTGTCCTGTGCAAAGTTCTCCAAGGACCACCCCCCGCCCTGCCCCACAGCATTCTGCAGTCCCTTGGAAGCAGGAGAGGTGCCTGTTCCCTTGGAACATATGTTCTCCCATCGGAGCATACTCCAACTTGGGAGCTCGGTCCTTCCAGTTGGCCACTTTGGTGGTATGGGTGAAGCAATGGCCGTCTACTGCCTTCTGTGGCTGTGGAGGCGGCGGAGTGGGGGCGGGGCGTCTCTCAGATGCGCAGTGCCCTCAGTGTCCAGAGTGGCAAACACAACCGAGATACTAAACACCGAAACCACTTGATATTCTGTCTGCCCTTTGTCCTTGGGTATGTCCACTTTATTGTTCCTACTGAAAGGAGCGATATCATTCCTTTTAAGTTTGTTTTTCAAATTGGCCAAAGTCCTGCCGTTCCAGCGACAGGACTAAACTCTTCGTTGGGGTTATCCTGGGTTTTGAACTAGCAACAGGTTGAGTGATAAGAGTAGAGGGCAGAAGGAGAGATCATTGCGTGACAGCTTGAGGGATGGGGAGAGAAGGAGGCAGCGGTTGCGGCGGGGCGCAGGCAGGGACGGGACCTGCAGAGCCATCCATTGGGCTTTAGGGGGTCGTCTCCAAACCTTAGGAAGGAGGTCACACTCGCGAAGCTACTTTAGATTTGACTCCGCCTTGTTGGATTTGGGATTAGGGTTGGAAGCTGAGAGAAGACCTTGGCGAGAGCCAACCTAACAGGAGCGGGGCGGGGCGGGGCGGGGCGGAGAAAGAGGGGGCGGGACCAAAAAGAGAGGGCTCATTACCAGAGCCGCTGCTTCTCACCTTGCGCACCAGCGTGCAGTCACAGTTTACACAGCTCCGCTGAAGCCTGAGAGCACCAGCACCATGCCCATGACACTGGGTTACTGGGATATCCGTGGGGTGAGAGCGGGTCTGACAGCCGAGTGCGATGGGAACGCCGGGCTTGCGGGAATGTGCTGAGTAGTTGGCAGCGGGTCCAGGAAATGAATCCCCCTTGCTGGATTCCACAGCCTGTACTTCTCAGAGCTCTAGATGTTTGAGATTAGTCTCTCTCCCTCTCCCCGTCCCCACCGTGTGTGCGGGCTGTTAGATCATGGGTAAGGATTAAAATATAGAGACATAGTCAGGGGTGTGCCTCTCTGATCAGCCGAATCTTCTAGTTGTGCCACGCCGTCCGCCTGTTCTTGGAATACACGGATTCAAGCTATGAGGAGAAGAGATACACCATGGGGAATGGTAATGACACCCTCTTAGTCTCTTGCTCAACTTCTGATTGGTGGCACTCAGGAGTCCCTGTGCCTGGCCCCTTGTTGCCCAGATCTGCGGGCCTCTTTCAGTTAGAACTAGAGTTCAACTAGATCTTCAAAAAACCCTGAGAAGGCAGTCTGGTCTTAAAATGCAGAGCTATGACTTTTTCTCTATTTGTAAATTAGCATTTGTCTAAACTTCTTGTAAACCTTAGGCCTGCAGGGCCCACAGTTCCAGACACTCTTCCCTCCTGTTACCTTGGAATACACACTCAGTGTGAGGTTGCAGATTCACTGCCTGGGGGTGGGGGTGGGGTGGGGGCTTGCCTGACTCCTATAGGAGGGTAGGAACTAGGGTGATTTCTTTTTCAACTCTTGCCACTACAGCTCCCGACTTTGACCGAAGCCAGTGGCTGAATGACAAATTCAAGCTGGGCCTGGACTTTCCCAATGTAGGTGCAGGGAAGGGAGGTTTGGGGAAGGCATGGAGTCCTCACCTCATCTTCTTGTCTGGATGAGGGGGTTTGGGGTCAGAGCTTCTGCTTTCTTTTTCCTTTTCTTGTTGTTTTTTTTGGTTTTTGGTTTTTTTCTTTTCTTTTTTTTTTTGTGTTTTTTGTTCTTTGAGGGTTTCCCATGTCATTCACACTGAGTGCCAGGTCCCATGTCTGTCCTCACCCAGAGAAGGATTTCAGGGTCCCCATATCCCACCTGACTGTCCCTGCTTGTCTTTCCAGCTGCCCTACTTAATTGATGGATCGACCAAGATCACTCAGAGCAACGCCATCCTGCGCTACCTTGCCCGCAAGCACAACCTGTGTGAGTGGGATCTCCCTGGGCTTGGCTGGCATGTGTGTGTGTGTGTGTGTGTGTGTGTGTGTGTGTGCTGAGATTCCGCTATGTGTGCTGCAGGTGGGGAGACAGAGGAGGAGAGGATTCGTATTGACATTTTGGAGAACCAGGTCATGGACACCCGCTTCCAGCTTGCGATGGTCTGCTACAGCCCTGAGTTTGTGAGTGGATGGGGAAGACAGGGTTTGGAGTTAAAGTCCTAAGTTCACATCTGTATTGGTCAAGGTCAGCATTTGAGTCTAGCAGTGCTGATTCTCTAAGCCCTTACTTATCCCAGCAACCAAGTGGCCTTCACGACTCCAGAATCTTGCCAAATAGCCACTGTGGGTCAGTTTCTACCACTTCTAGGATATGGCTTGGATTCCACAAGCTAGAAGTTCAGTTTTTAAACATTTGAGCATGTAGTGTTTTGCTTCTTTGATGGCACTGGCCATCTGAGTCCAGAGTGTGACAGGTGTATGGGCATCTCCTAAGCACCTCTGAGTCTGACCCCCAGGATCTGATTTGGGCCATAAGTGTTGTATTTGTTATTCTTTTTAAAGCGGTGGGTGGGAGACCACGGTGGGCCAGAGGCCTTCGCTGGTCAGTGGGTGACCCCAAGCCTAGGCGGGTCCCCTTGGCGGGTAAGAGACACACAGATACACCATGCAGAGTTTGTGTATAGAATTTATTTAGTGGGTTATGGAAGGAAAGGGGAGGAAGGAGAGGGGGAGAGAAAAAAGAGAGGGGGGAGAAGAGAGGGAGGCAGCAGCCACCTCTTCAGAAGAGAAACAGATAGGGGGAGTGGGCGGGGTTTGTCTCTTAAGGGGACAGGGTAACCAAGTGATAGGACAGGTCATGACAGTATTCCCATCTGACTTCTCATCCTCCAACACGTGGGACCTGGCGCCCAGAGGGCTCTGATCAGCAGTGATGAGCTCATTGAAAGTCAGGAAGCTGACTCAGAACCAGTCTTGAGGGGGTGCATGCTCTCCCCTCCATTCCTGTGAAGTCAAACTCTTTGCCAGGGAGCCTGTATTGGAGGGTGGTGACCGGTTTTTACCCCCCAACCCACTTCAGGAGAAACAGAGGCCAGAGTACTTAGCAGGTCTTCCTGAGAAGTTGAAGTTCTACTCGGAGTTCCTGGGCAAGCGGCCATGGTTTGCAGGGGACAAGGTAAAGAGAGGGAAGAGGGGGAAGGAGCTGCCATTCCTCCCAGGCTTCAGATCCTGTCTCACCGACCCTCAATTCCTGCAGATCACCTATGTGGATTTTCTTGCTTACGATATTCTTGACCAGCAACGACTGTTTGAGCCCAAATGCTTGGAAGCCTTCCCCAACCTGAAGGACTTTGTGGCCCGCTTTGAGGTGATGCCCTGATCCTCCTCTTTCTTAGATGTCTTTTCCTTCCCCCTTTCCAGGGTGATTTCCTAATCTTTTAATTTAAAAGAGTAATTAGCATTTTCTGAGCACTGGTTTTCTGTGAGGCTCCGTGCTCAACACTTGATAGTTATAGGATCAAATGTATTACTATAAGATTCCTACAAGGTAGATAGAATTATCAGACCCCTAAGATGAACTGAGACTGGAGGGTAACTCACTTGCTCAAGGTCTCAACTCTGAGCCTTGGGGGCCTGTTCCATGTGGGCCCCTGACTTCTACGGGCAACACTGGCGACTCTTCTTGTCTTGTGATGAAAAGAAAAGTTTCAGGACTTTGTTCAACCAGGGTTTCCTGTCTGGGACCCTTTTGAGAAGTAGAAGGTGACAAAAGTGTGCAAACATCTGGCTTTAGGCATTTAAGAAGGCAAGGGACAGCGAGATTCATGTGCAGTCTCACGACACAGAGAGTCTTCATGGCTGACCTGCAGAACACTTTGCTTCTCCCTTCCCCATTGTGGAGACGTGGAAAGCTCAGACTGTAGAAGGTGCTTGGATTGAGTAGACAAGTGGGCCCTTGTAAGAGGGTGACACCCGGGCCCCTGTGTTTGACACCCCCCATCTACTTTATTGGAAGCACTAACTTTGTGTGTGTGTGTGAGTGTGTGTGTGTGTGTCTGTGTGTGTTAGTTTGGTCTTTCTTTTTTTCTTTCTCTTTCTTTCTTATTTCTCTCTCTCTCTCTCTCTCTCTCTCTCTCTCTCTCTCTCTCTCTCTCTCTCTCTCTCTCTCCCCCCCCCCCCCCCCTTCAGACCTGGAATCTGTTTTCATCCCCCACTCTCTATCAAGTGATGTGTTTTCTCAGCTAGTTCCCATTAGCTCTGTTTCTGGTCCAAGTTGAATAGCTCTGGGGATTATGTAAGAGCTGGCATCACCGAGGAGAAAGGGGGAAGGGAGAGCTAAAAGCTGCCGCCTCAGGCCTGGTGCTTTGGCTCATAGTAAACAGGTAGTCCTGGGCTTTAGAATTCCTCCGCACTTAGTTATCTGGAAACTCATTCTCAGTAAAATTCGTGCAGGGTGACTGAAATTTGACTCGGTCCCCCGTATTAGAGCTAGAGATATGTTTGATTTGGGTATAGTAATATTGGGCCCAGGTACCAGGTGGAGAAATTTAGACTGTCTTCTCTCTGGGAATGGATCAGACCCCTGCCTTGCTTTTTCCCTGGTGGGCCTCCCTCCATCTGAAATACTTCCATTCAGGATTTTCTGTGTGCGATCTGGGCACTTTTCCAAGCTACTTTGGCATGCTCTGTGAACTCCTTTTTTTCTCTGGCAGCTCGTTCCTTGGTGTGCAAATGCAGGCAGAATCTTCCCTGTGGGGGAAAAAAAAAAAAACCAGGCCTGTGCAGACCGTGACAGGGCTGTGTGTATAGAAGGAAGTTGTTTAACCTCTCTGGAGTTCAGGTTCCCTCCTGATAAATGGTCAGTTAGGACCCATCTTGCAGGGTCATTGAGTGGTTTTTCCAAACCTAGGGTGTACTGTCTAGAGGTCGCCAAGCCGGCAGGATAGTGCTGCTTCTCCACTCGATGCCCCTCTTGAAGTGGGACATTTTGGAAAGGAATTCAAAGAGGTCCTTCTCCAGAGCTGAGGCTGACTGCTCTGCTCCAGGTCTCAGGCCCACGTGGAGTTCCTGGGGCGGAGCTGGTCAGCTCAGCGGGCCTACAGGCCTAAGCTTTGCTTTCTCCTTCCCACGCACAGGCCCTGAAGAAGATCTCTGCCTACATGAAGTCCAGCCGCTTCCTTGCAGGCCCCATGTATTTGAAGATAGCTGTTTGGGGTAACAAGTAGGAACCCCTTACTACCAAGGCCGGGAAGAGATCTATAACTGTGCTTGCTGGTCCTTCTGCTTCTGTGTTGGGGTTCCTTCCCAGCGGCTCCTCCACAGAAATGTGCAGAGAGATTCCGGGCTCATGGGAGGGGGTGGGAAACACCTTTCATCTCTCCCAGAAGCTTTCCCTAAACCAGACACCTCTCCTCCTAGTCTCAGGATGTTTCCCCATAAACGTTTCCCACCGTTTGCAGCTTGTGTCTGGGCTATTTTTTTTTTTTTTTAACCGAACTTCATCCTAAGTTGATCAAAGGGAAGATGTGGGGCCTGTTGGACTTTGCATCTCTTTGAGTAATGTGTGTGAGGGAGCCTGGCCCACCGGCACTGCTCTTGCAGTTGGGAAACTACAGCACTGTGCTCAGCAATCCTTGTGCCAAGCTCTACAGCCAGCAGCACTTGGCACTCTGGGAATTTTTCTCTTAGCCTGAGGAGGTGCAGAACGAGGTTTCCACATTCGGCCCTTACAGTCTGAACCAGAGTCTCTCCCCATCCCAGAATTTAAGAGGCCTCCCAGCCGCCCATGGAAGAGCGCGGTCTGAGATGAGGCAGCCCAGCTTGCTGGGCCCCAGTGCCGCAGTGTATGAGCAGCCACGTCAGGGGTATTTTGTACCAGATCATCCACAAAGGAGCTGGATTCATTGGAGAAGAATCTGCTGAACAGGTTCCCATGGCAACTGCTAGACCATGGATTCTGACCTTGGTAGAGAGGAGCTCTGGAGGAGGTCCCTTCTGGGCATTGTTCACGTGCCAGCTGCCAGCAGTTACCTGCTACCATAAGGAACTAGGGCCTGCCGGCAACTTGTGAGGGTTATTGTGAAATAAATGAGTTCTTAATATGGAACTCTCCAACTAAGGGGGTGCACACACACCTTCAGTCCTAGAATTCACAATGACAGAGGCAGGGGAATCTGTGTGAGTTTAAGGACAGTTTTGTCTACCTAGTGAATTTTAAGCTGGTTGGGCTGCATAGAGTGATTTGGTCTCTTGTATCAAAAATAAATAAATAAATAGATAAATAATAAAAAAAACAGCTAGTAAATGCTCGAAATTTGTGAAACTTGTAAGATCAAAATTAATTAGGCTAAGGGTCTATTATACTTTAGAGATAAATGAAATTTAAAAAGGAAACAGGATTAGGGTATAAGGCAGTAGTAGAACATTTACTTAGCATGCAAAAGGTAGATTCGAACTACAAGTTTCAAAAAAATAAAATAAAATGGAAAAATGCAATGGAAGTTAGGAGTGACGGTATAATAAAAGTTAAGTAAAAAGAATACAATATTAATCCAGACTGCAACTCTGAACCAACAGTCAGGGAGCCTGCATGGGACCGACCTAGGCCCTCGCATGTGTGTGGCAGTTTTGTAGCTTGGTCTGTTTGTAGGGCTCCTAGCAGTGAGATCAGGACCTGTCCCTGGTGATTAGCTGGCTTTCGGGAACCTGTCTCCTATGCTGAATTATCTCACCCCACCTTGACGCAGGAACTTGGTCCTGTTTCAACTTGATGTGGCATGCTTTATTCAAGCCCATGGGAGGCCTCCCCGCTCTGAACTGAGATGGAGGAGGAATTGATGGAGAAGGGGGTAAATGGGAGGTGGGGGGGATGGATGGGAAGGAAAGGAGGGAGGGAAAACTGTGGTTGGTATGTAAAGTAAATGTGAAAAAATTAATTAAATAAAAAGAAGATATTCAAATGCCAGGAAGCACTCAGAAAATCACGACTTGCTCATTATTAGAGAAAGGGACAGCTAAACGGTAATGAGGTTCTACTTCATGTACATTAGGATGGCTACTATGAAAATTCAAAAATTAAAATATTTGGTGAGGGTCGGGGGCATTAATGCCTTTCCCATCATTGGTGGGTATATATAACGATGGTTCCTCAAAAAATTAAAAGTAGAAGAATGTAAAATAAGGGGCCTGCCTAGTGTGACTCCTGCCTAGTGTGACTTCTGGCTAGTGTGACTCCTGCCTAGTGTGACTCCTGCCTATTATGACTCCCCAGCAGCCATCTTTCTGGCTAAGAAAGCCAGGTGAGCCATGGCTATATCTATAATCTCAACACTTGGGAAGCTGAGGCAGGAAGAGCCTAAGTTCCAAGCCAGCCTAAACTATATAACAAGACCTTTTCAGCCTCCTCACTCCCAGTCCCTGCCAAACAACAACAAACAAACCAACCCCCCCCCCCAAAGAAACCAGAGTCAAGTGATGTCATAGTGACTGGTTTTATTATATGGAAAAAGGAAAGACGTATTGAAAAAGGTAGGAAGGATAGGGTTGTCACTGCCTGCCTTTCCTCAGCTGACTCGCCTACCCTGCCCCAAGGTCAGTATCTGCAGACTGAGCCACTGGAACCGTATTAGCTGGAGTTCAAAGGGACCGCCTTTGCCACGATCCTTCAACTAGAGCAGAAAGGGAAGCAATGCTCTGCTCCATTCTCTGAGGAGCAGGACACATGAAATTCTATATGACTTTGACTTAGAGCTCTGTGTTGGACCTGTTCTGATGAGCCCTAGCAGTAGGCAAAAGCTGTAGGCCCCTAGCCAAGGCCATAGCTCCCAGACAGATTTTTCTGTGTCTACTCTGGCTCCCAACAGAAATCTGTGAGCTGGTGGATTAGGTAGTCTGGATCTGTGTCATTGGTAGTCTCAGGTCTCAGAGAGGCCCTAGGGCAACCCCTTCCCTAAGAGTGTGCAGATCACTGATCAGGTTAGACTGTGGTGTGGACCAGTTCAATGTCACCCTTGGAGGTCAAGGGACTTGTCTTCACCCGCATTACCCCTACTCTATGACATGGAGCAAGACTCCAGTCTGTAGGGCTGGAATGAGATAGGAAGCATAGGACTTCATCTTGGAACGCAGTGCCAGGCTGGAGAAACCTAGCATTGAACAGGTCCTACTGTCCCCCATTTCAGGATAGAGTTCATGGATAGGATTTCTGGAACAGCCTTGGTGTCGGGCATCACTCTTTGGACTTCTATCCTGGCCAGCATCATCTGTGGCTGTGGGGATCTTTAGCCATTAGCTGACTTCAGCAATAGTCAGTCCATAGTCGTGCAGACCTGTGTGCTTTCCCAGGGTTGTGTTCAGCCAGGTCTCAGCAGGCTGTGAGCTCACATTGACACAGCACCGTGGCTTTGGTGGTGGCATATGGTATATGAGCCAGAGTCTAGACCATCTGTGGCGATTCTACCCAGACCCATGCAGAATCTTAGTGTCTGACTATAGGCAGGTGGCTCTGAACGAGGGAGGCATCTGGGTGGACCCTGGCCCCAGAAAGATGCTCACGGGGAAGGACTGTTCATTCCAGGCACTACTTTAACTCATGCTGAACACGTAAACTACAGATCTGGGGACAACCTAAACTTTGATCTTCCTCCAGTGGTCTACAAACAACAACACTTCAGTGGTGACCTCATAAAAAACCCTGAACTTTGTTACCGTTTATTGCGGAAATAACGGGAGTGTCTAACGGCTCTGAGTGGGCTGGGGAGAAACAGCCTGCTTAGAATTTCTGGAAAAACTGATGCAAACAAAGCCAGGTTCAAACTCTAGAGTAAATACATAAACCCTTTAGCGTCCAGAGGCTGCCACAGAGCAGTAAGCATCAAGAACTTTAGGAAGCCATGACTCCACGAAACATTCAAGGAAGGGTCTAGAAACCAACCATATAGGAACTAGTATAAGGTAACTTTTGGATGGGAAATGTAAAACAGCTACTTTAAGGTCACAAAATGAGCTTAAAGAGAACAAAGAGGGGGCTGGAGAGATGGCTCAGAGGTTAAGAGCACTGTCTGCTCTTCCAGAGGTCCTGAGTTCAATTCCCAGCAACCACATGGTGGCTCACAACCATCTATGATAAAATCTGGTGCTCTCTTCTGGTGTGCAGACAAACATGCAGGCAAAATGCTGTATACATAATAAATAAATCTAAAAAAAAGAACAAAGAGAAATGATACTCTAAAAGAGAAATTTAACAAAAATGGAAGCAATAAATTCTACAAAGGTATTTTTTTTTTTTTATTTTCAAGACAGGGTTTCTCTGTAGCTTTTTGTTTCCTGTCCTAGAACTAGCTCTTCTAGACCTGGCTGGCCTCGAACTCACAGAGATGCGCCTGCCTCTGCCTCCCGAGTGCTGGGATTAAAGGCTTGCGCCACCACCGCTCGGCTCAAAGGTAATCTTTGAGCTTAAAAAAAGAGTCAATTTTTACATGCAGCAAAAGGCATTGATATTAGAACAGAACAAAGAGAAGAAAGTATTAGTGAGCTTAAGAGGACAAGGACGAGAAAACATGTATGGGGTCTTTGGGATAACATTACAGGAGTACTTGAATTGTTGTGTTTCAAGAAGGGCTTAACAATTGCAAAGGTTTAGAAATTTTATCGAAAGAGACAGTGGTATAAAGTTTTCCAGACCTGAAGCAGAACGCACATTCCCAGTAAGAGAAGGTCAGAGAGCACCTGTTGGAGCCACCGAGATAGCTCCTGCTTGGTGCTGAAACTGACAACCTGAGTTAGGTCCCCCAGGTCCCACACGGTAGAAGAAAACAGACTCATTCACCCTCTATTTGAGCCTTGTTTCCAGAGAAGCAAACCTGAGAGAATACATCCCTCATATTTGACCAGACTTGTCTAAGCAGAAATAACAAAGGGAGTTCTCTAAATTAAAAGGAAGACATGTTTATGAGCAAAAAGAAAACACTAGGCGATTGTGCTGGCTAGTTTTATGTTAACTTGACACAAGCTAGCGTCATCTGAGAGAAGGGAGCCTCATTGAGAAAAATGCCTCCACAAGATTGGGCTACAGACAAGCCTGAAGGTCATTTTCTTAATTAGTGATTGATGTGGGAGAACCCAGCCCATTGTGTGTGGTGCCATCCCTGCGCTGGTGGTCCTGGGTTGTATAAGAAAGTAGGCTGAGCAAGCCATGAGGAGTACGCAGGTGAGCAGCCCCCTTCATAACCTCTGCATCAGCTCCTGCCTCCAGGTTCCTTCCCTGCTTGAGTTCCTGAGCTCACTGCTTTTGATGATGAACTGTTATATGGAATTGTGAGTGGAATAAACTCTCCCCCCCCCCAGGTTGCTTTTGGTCAACGTGTTTCATCACAGCTATAGTCACTCTGACTAAGACATAGATAAAAACGAACTAACAAAACCCCCTCACTGGTAATAAGAACTACAAGGTGATTAGAGAGATGGCTCAGTGGTTAAACACGCTTGTTACTCTTACACAGGACTTGGATTCAGTTCCCAGCACCCACATGGCTGCTCACAACTGCCTGTGACTCATTTTCAGAGGATCTGATGACCTAGTTTGGATTCTGTGGGCATCAGGCATGTACATGGTACACACACATATATGCACTCATGCACATGAAATAAAAATAAATCTTCAACAACAACAACCAATTAAAAAAGAATAACTATACAAATTGACCATAAATCTGGTATATCTTCATATGAAATATCTAGTATATCTTTAATATGAAATGTAAAAAAGCAAGACAATAATAATTAGATTACAACCCTATGTTAAAACATGAGAAATATAAAAAGATGCAGAATGAGACATCAAAAACTCAAAGTGTAAATAAATGGAATGCAAGTGTCTAACTTATAAAAATCCTCCATTTCCTTTTGAGGTCTCTTTCCTTGTCTTTATGATCATGCTATGTTGGTATCATTTCAAAACAGCTATAATTTTTTAAAGGTGGTTTTGTAAGCCTCATGGTAGTCACAGGCAAAAATCCACAATAGACAAACTCAAAAGAATATTCAAAGAATCAAAGCACAATACTAAAGTAAATCAGTTAACTACAAAGGAAGTGTGTGTGTGTGTGTGTGTGTGTGTGTGAGAGAGAGAGAGAGAGAGAGAGAGAGAGAGAGAGAGAGAGAGAGAGAGAGAGAGAGAGAGATGAGAACTACAATGAAAATAGAAATAAAATTTTAAAAATTGCTATGGTAAGACTTTATTTATTTATTTGTGTGCATGGTATGTATGCACGCACGCACACACGTGCGCACACGC